TTGAAAGTGGCTATTGGATTATTTATGCTCTATGAGATGAGGCAACTTACTATGAGATTCAGCCAACTAGATTGTGTTGTGAACGCCAAGTCCAAGAGTCCAAAGCCGCTTGTTCTCGCAGGCTGTACCTCACGTTGTCTCCAAGGGGGATCACAAGGCCATCGAGATGATCGTGGAAAGAATCGACGACAAGGAGATGCGGAGCCGCCTTAGAACTAGTTTCAGACGTTGAATTGATGTTTGATATTGTGGGGCTTGGGATTCTAAACCCTTTACTGTTGATCTTTTTATTAAAGGTGCTAGTTGCTAGTAATATCGACGAATTCTTGCATTGCTATCCCAAGACATAGTACAGTACAGTAAATGCTGCACGTGTGGTGCGCTTGTTGTGCAGCCTCCAAAACAGCCACGAACCTCCGTGCGGAATCGAAGGACGGAAAAGTACAAGACTTGAACGTCTTCGACGGACAGTATAGTCATAGAGAAGATTTTCTGAGTCCAGTTGGCCAAGAGTGCTGCCAATACTATGGAGAAGCTACTTACTACTTACTGACATTAGAGACGCTTCTCCGCCGGCCTCAGGATGTTGAAATCCGCGAGGAAGCCATCCGTGCCCTGGGAAAAGTGGCGACACCAGGCACACGGTGAAGATGAGCGAAGAGACATTCACAAGGAGTAGTGACAAAGAACATTGATATTACACAATGAAGTGGTCAGACAGGTGATGACAGGCGACAACTCTGGGAAAAGTCTCTTGCAGGACAGGATACTTATGATACTTGTCCAACTCTTCAGATTAGTCTGAGTCTGATCGATTGACTCCTGTTCTGCATTTAAAATCATTTACAATCAATGAATTTAATTTAAAAGGTACATAATGTTTCCCAGACATAGTGTTTGTGTCCAGCGCCGGACTGCCCACTGCGCAGACGACCACGTTGCTTTGAACCACATCATTCGAGGGCTGAGAGACGAATCGATCTATGTCCGCCAAGCTGCACTGGAGGTGATGCCTCTACAGGGGTGAGTTAAGTCGTGGATCGGTTTAACTTTTCAATACATGTCCCGGGGACCCCGGGGGACGGCGACATGTAAAACAACGCACATCAGGCACAGTATTTACAGCCTTCGGCATGCCGCCGGCCACCAGCTCGAGCCCGCATTGGCAGGCAGCTTAATGATACAATACCCTGCTCAATCATACTTGTTGGTGCATTGCAGGTGCACATTTGGCTGGGTGAGTTTGTTGATGTTTATTTCAAGGTTGTTTGACCATGAAATGGAACAAATCCGAATCAGAGGTTGTCTATTCTGATCCAGCGATCCGAACCGGCATGTCTCAGTCGAATCACCTAAGAGGAACCAAGTGAAACCAACACAAGCAATGCGAACCAAGACTATCCACAAAACATGACCTTGAAAACGACTCTTCTTCCAAACTACTTGGCCGTGTGCATGCTTTCCTTTTCAGATCTATTTTTCGACCACCTCGAGGGATTGCGACACGCACCAGATATTCTTTTTCACACACAGAAGGCTTCAAAGCGACCGAAGAATTTCTAGATCTGGCATGATTTGTCGTTTTTTTCTCCAAACCGTTTGAAATGAAAGACCCAGAATGACATCGAACAACAATACCCTGCTCAGTCAGACTTGTGGGTGCATTGGAGTTGCACATTTTGCTGGGAGAGTTTGTTGCTGTGGAGTTCAAGCGAAGTCGTTTTACAATGAAATGGAACGAATCCGAATCAGAGGTTGTCTATTCTGATCCAGCGATCGACATGTCTCAGTCCAATGGTTGTCTATTCTGATCCAGCGACCTACTACCTAGTACCTACGACCTACGACCTACTACCTACTACCTACTACCTGCGACCTACGACCTACGACCTATGACCTACGACCTACTACCTACTACCTACTACGTACCACCTACTACCTACTACGTACCACCTACTACCTACTACCTACGACGTATGACCTATGACCTATGACCTACGACCTACTACCTACTACCTACTACCTGCGACCTACTACGTACCACCTACTACCTACTACCTACTACCTGGGGGGGGGGCGTCAGGCTGTCGAAAATCTCGCGCGGAGAGACAATACTCAAGCAATACTAACCAATACAAGCAATACTAACCAAAACAATCCACAAAACACGCCGGCAGGCCGGCGGATTTTATTGCTCAACGACATGATCAACGGGCAATTAATCAGTAGGTGCTGGTTTATTGTGGTTTAGTGACTTTCTGAAATCCGCATTTCTTGCTTGGCAATTTCTTCCTCCTGAAATAGTTCATATTTGATGTAATAATGCATTGGCAAGAGGTCCAATTAGTTTGCCTTAATCGTGTTGTTGAACAATTGCTTGCCTGACTTACCACCCTGTTGGCTTCCAAGTCATTTGTTGCTTCGACCGCGTTTGCTGTTTCTGTACTTTGCCGTAAGAAATCACAGCAACTGTCCTTCGCTCGTCGAGTGGATGTTTGGAACTCTCAGTTCTAGATTCTAAAATGTGGTGCGATGTCATGAGGGATGGTGATTTCTTTGCAAGGTTGTTTCGCCCGTACGGTTGTTTCAACTTGGGTGATTTGGCGCGGGCACCAGCAGCACCAGCTTGGGATGCAGCTGCCCGAATGGTCAATGGTAGCGCTGGTAGTGTGCCGGAAGTGCTTTGATTGAAACTGCAGCAGTGCATGGACTCAGTTGCAAGTATTGGAACGATGGCATAGAGAGATGATGGTTTGTTCTTTGTTCCGCGCCCATGACAATGGCAACTATGAACTGATCTGGCCAAATCAAAGTGCTCCTACCCATTGCTGCATTCTGAATCAGCCTCCATGTGCTATGTTTTTTGCCATGGTCACTGTCCAAACTGTCAGTTGCACCACTTCTCATCAAAACTTAACATTTCATTGACCACTCATGTAATGAGTTCGTGAGGACTCGCTATCAAAGCATGCTTTTGTCGTACCTGGTCCCTCAATATATAGATTCCGTTGTTGTAGTCAACAAGCATCCGTGTTATTGCAAGTACCTTTAGTGACATGCCCTGTTTTGAGGGCTTGTCGACCACTGCCCATCATGAGAATCCAACGAGTCATCCGCAGTGTCACCAGCTAGTAGCTAGTGTCAAAACGGTGGAGCTGACAGGCTGGACGCGTATCCAAGGCCATTGCTATAGATACCCTTTTGAGAGAGAACGAACAGACTTCAAAATGGAACTTCATATCTATGACTTGCTTAGGAGTTGTTGACAAGCAGCACAGTCTTTCGGGCTATATACTTGGCATTTGCATCACCAGTTCAAATTTGAAAGACTGTTAGACATGAGCATACATGGACTGCTAGAGTCTGCTCGGAACTGAATGTTTGTAGGCTTTTTGGCAAAGACGAGACCTAGGTATATACGGATGCGTTGAGGTTTTCGTGTTCTGTGAATTCCCCAGACACAAGCCAAAGGTGAGGGTCTTGGAAACATCCCTGCAAGTTTCCGATCCTGGATCTTCCAATTGATCGGTTGGAGTGATTGCTCCACCCTTCGGGAAGCTTTGCTTGCTTGTCAAAGATTTCCACAAGCAGCGTGGTAAGAGCGGGAAGTTCACTCACACATGACATACACATTTGTATCGTTTTGTTGCTCCTTGATATGTATATACTGGAAATTTGTATGAAACATATACTATTATCTACTACTTGAATAACTTGAATTTAGTTGTTTTTACAATCTATTGTAACTATAAATATATTGATGTGTTATTGATCATCATCCGTGGCACAACGAATCTGTCAACTTGGTTAGTCTTTGCATTGCACCTCCCAGACGTTCAAAATACTCAAGCCGCAATTAAACCATTGAAGTATCGTTTAATCCAAATTAAACAGTGAATCATTGGGTTAGTTAATGTTAGTTATATATATATATTGTTAATTGTTTTGTAGAACATTGACTCCAATTTCGATTTAAAGCCTCATTGAATCCAACTTTGATTTTCCAAGACATGCCTGCATTACTTTCCCTAGCATCCCTCCACAGTCTTGGCACTTTGGAAACATTTCTGGTGCTTGTGACCTTGTAGAAACATGCAGTGTGAGCATTCAATCGGCGGAACGGGCTCGAAGGTTTTCACGAGGTCCAACAAGATTGATTTCGAAGGCACCAGCATGGAAACAAGAGCTATCAAGGACTTGGTACGATTCAGCATTGTTAGTGCTTTGTGTCAATCATCATTGATACAATAGGCTGAGTGATCCGAACACCACTGCAAAAGGAGATTCTGCACTGCGCAAGATGCTGACGGGCTTCTAAGGTATGTTTGTACATCATTCGATACCGAAAGGGGATGTCACAGTAGACAGTACCCAACGGTGTCACCACAAATTTGCTTGGAACTGTACAGCTGAGCGGTTCTGTACCAAAACAATTATATATTTTGAGGAAAACCCGTGAATACCCTCCCAAGTAGCAAAAGCTGCCAGCCTTGGGGTCCCTTGGCGGTACCCTGAATCATTGAAGGGATGACGATGTTTGAAAGGATCATCCATAGGCTTCAGACACCATGATGGACGACATATACCAATGTCGCACTTTGGCCGTGCTGCTTGATTCTCAGGGTCTCAGGTAGTCTGAAGATGCAGGTGACATGGCGACGAGAAAAAACTGCACTGTTCGACGGTCGCCGGAGACTGCAGCTGCAAGACTTGGAAAGAACGAGACTTGTCATACAGTATTAGGGTTTGCTATTGTCCTGAGAATGACCTCACCAGATGTTCCAACATGTGCCAACACTGGACATACGCCGCATAATCTTGACTCTTGGATGGAAGAAACACTTGTGTGACTTGTCAGAGACCCATTCCGAAACGACCGCAAAATGCCACGACTTAATGGTCGAAATTTCCATTTTGATGTGGAATTAATTGGCCCTACTAGAAAAACTGAGTACCAGTAGGACCATGAAGTTCTCCGAAACTGTAAGAAAGTGTGTCAGGACAAGAATGGGAGCGCTCTTTGGAGGTTGCTCCGTGATGGCACCCAGTCTTGCCAACAGAGGGAGCAGGTTCAGGATCATTCAGGATCTCTAGTTCCAGTTCCATGTTCAGATTTGTTTTATAAGGTCCATAAGGTTATTTTGTGTTATTTTGCATGCCCTTAACATCACGCTCCTGTCCCTGCGCGGAATGTTTGACAGTGCAAAGCAAGCAACCGTCTTTGAAGCAGGGAAAAACAAGAACATATTTTCTTGTAACATCAGTCATGGTGCTTGTCATGGCTCCACAAGAAAGCTGTCTCAGCAATGTGTGTGGTCCCATCATGGATCATCAATACTTGCTAAAGCCCCAAGGACAGTTGCTGACCTGTACACCAAAGACGGCCTGGTCATGGTCGGGTAGAACGAGTCGTCAAGGGAGCGGGCTCGACAATTGTCAGACAGAAAGCTCCTGGGGTCACGGGTCAATGAGCAAGCCATTGTATGACCCTTCGACATCCTTTGAATATTCAACGATTATTTTTGGCAGAGCTGTATCTCGTGCAGTGAGGGTGAATCGTGACGTATGTATTGCAATGATGGCAGCATAATTTGTTTTAAGTCTCTTTGAAAGCAGTCTTCAAGAACACGGAGCAGTGTACTACACTGGGGTGCCAAAAGTTGCGCTTCTTGACTTCTAAAACATCACAAACCCTTTCCCCTTAGAATCCTACGTGCAACATGTCGACACCTCAGTTGCGGTCAGATTTCCACACCTGAAAGCCTTATAAATATTATAGTTTTAAACGGGTGTGGAAATCTGACCGTGCTGTACCTGCCACGCAAAACGGACGTGTTAATCCGATCCGCTGTAGACCGCAAGTGTCATGTTGGAACAGAGTAAGAAGCGTAAACTTTAGGGTTCTTGAAGTATACGCGCTCCAAGGGTGGGGGTCGAGGTAGAGGTGAGAAGGCTTGGGTGCCGATGATCCCTTGACTCTTGACGTTCGAAGAGAAACATTAGTCATCTCAACTCTTATTCTGGAGCTAATTGATTTCAATCATGTCATTTCAATCCATTTCGGCGGTCCAGGCTGCAGCACGCGGCTTGCGCTGGACCTTGGCCTTGTGCTTGAGGCGCTCGGCTTTCGGTCAAAGTTGCACCAATGCTCACAGTAGTGTGTGCACGCCCAAATTTCGTGGGTTCTACTGTAGCTAGCACGTTGAACTGAAGAGAGTCACTTTCCTACAAGTTGAGCAGACATGCTTTGTATTTTGTAAAATTGCAAGATCGTTAATCGCATAAATATAGAAGCAAGCAGGCCCGATCGAGAAGCAAGTTGGCGAAACTCAGACCTGTACCACATTTCAACAACACAGACACTCCATAGGAGAAACAGCCTTCGAAAAGCTGAAAAGTGAAGTCAAAGGGGATGTTGCATTACAGCTGTGTGTCTCAGATATCTCTGTGTTTGTTTTCAGTATTGTCCCTGTCATCTCTTTGGCAGCTCTCCTTTCAACTTCCTGACATTTCCTCACAGAGTCACTGTGATCTCAATACCGCTCAGGACGAAACACACTCAGGATAATAGGTTACTGCAATTGTTTGTATTAGGCTATATTATATCTACTGTAATTAATTCCTTCCCGAGGTTTGACAAACTTGCTGCAGAGCGGAACAGAAGAGAGCAGCTACAACTTTGTGTGTATATAATGTACACATCATTACACAGCATATATACTTGCCGATGCTTGTTTGTTGCCCTTGTTGCCCTTGGCCACCTGAATTATATATTTGCTGTCAAGTTGTCAATGTCAATTAATTGCATCCTATAATGCTCAATATTGGAGCAGACGGTTCCAGTCTAGTGGGAAAGACCTGGTTCACATCCAATTCCCACGCAATGCTGTGGCAACCCTAGCTAGGCAAAACGCATGTTTGGAAACGATACCATATGGATGAATCCATGACCAGACTTCAATAGACTTCATACATATATGTTCAGAAAACCCAAACGTGGTGTAGAGACCCGCAAGATGAGGACCTCCTCCGCCGGGAAGGTTTCTGAAGTTGTGACTCAGTTGGTAGTAGGTAAGATTGGTATATGTTAAATACAGGTTGTTCTGTTTCTGTTCTAGTCTTATGTCCTGCTCTGTTTATTCTGTGGTTCAATCTTCCTTGGGGATCCTACAGTGTGGAGTTTGCACTGCAAGGTGTGAAACGTTGATTTGCGATGTGGCGCGGGAAAACCAAGAACGGACAAAGAAGACACAACGGGCAGAACGGGTCACCACAGAGACTCTCTGACAACGGGTAGCGAGGAAGTGAGACGGCAGGTTTGATGTCCTGCCTTTCTCTATGTGCGTTCCATTTTTTTAGGGTTCCGCAAGAATGCGGAAAAAACACAAGCAACATAAGCAACGGAGCAGGGCGGGTCTAGTTTAACCCAAAGTTAATTGTTCAACAAACTAGGAAACCTTGAACGGTCAATGAGTCAAAGATTTGCAATCAACATGGAAGTGGCACAATCCCTTTCAAGTGCTTGATTCGTGGAACCCCGTTGAAACTTTCGAACAATGAAGAACCTCGCCTCCCTTGCCTGATAGTTCTTCCAACAAACGAGGAAGGCATCAATGTTTACATGTCAGCAATACAGTTGGTAGAGCAGCTCCATGGCTAACCTGGATTTCCTATATCAACATTCAAAACATGACTTCCTTGTTCCCTTGAGAGAATAACTCGATAAGAACAACCAGTGGCGCCGATTCAGACCGCACAGAACTACATATATATATATATACATACAGTGTTTTGCATGAGTTTTTGTCTTAACAGGAAAAAACAGGGCGAAGCAGCATTCATTCAGGTGGTCCGACGGGGTCATGTTTTCGCAGGTCAGAGAGCCAGATCGGCCATACAGTCTCGGTGCCTAGTGACTAGACACGAAACGAGCGAGCCGGTGGGCCGGCGGAATCAGAAAGGAACAATTGTGGCATTGTGGTGGCAGGATTTGTTGGATAATTATTGGCTGCAGCTATTGACTATTGATACTACAATGAGCTCACTCCAGGAAAGAGTTCATTGGATATGATGGCTGTCTTTTTAGAGTTGGAATAGGTTTGGATCAAGATCGTCCAAATCCATCAACTCTTGGCCGGTGGATGGGCTGAGGGAATTGATAGGGAATTGATATTCTTCACAGCAATGAAGCCTTCATTGTTGTGATTTTCTGTGCTCAATTGTTTTTGTCGCACTGCCTAGGCCTTACTTGGCACCTTCTCCAAGGGTGAGAAGCATGTCTCTCAGGATGTTGCTTTTGGGATATGTATATATACTGTACATGAGCATACTGCTGTTGGCCTTGCTAAAGTAGTCTGCCGCATGCTCTATTTGCTTGTCTATCATTAGTATTCGCTCGTGAACGAGATAGGGCCCCCCACATAAACGAGATTCTTTTGCTTGATGACACTCAAGTAATCTGAACGAGATAGTGTGATTTGCTACTAAAGTAGTCTGAACGAGATAATGTGACATGACCTCCTACTTAAGTAGTCTAAATGAGATAGGCCCCCCCACATATTAGATAGTGTATTTGAGTTTAGTACCAAATAGATGCCGCTGCACACATAGAACATCACATTTATAGAAATGCCTTACGTTCAGAACTTCTCACTGATGAAGTTTAATGCCAGGCTGAGGCCTTTTTGATAGTCTGCTGTGGGTTTCTGGATGCTCAGCCTTCATCGCTTGCGTGTGGCAATCTTGGCTATCAGGATGCCAAATGACCCCAGTGATACAAAGACAGAAGCATCTTTTTGGGCACTTTCATTTCCAAAAGTTCAATCACCTTCTGACTATTCTGAGTCACCAAATTGTATACAGTCTAAGTGGTTGACAAGCTTTGATTACGTGGGAAGACACAGGATGCCATCAATGCAATGACAACGCCTATTGCGCAGCTGAAGGCATTGACTAAGGGGCGGACCTGGGCTTTCACGGACTTTGAACTCAAAGACACTGTGGGCAAAGGTACCTTCAGTCGAGTGCGTGTTGTCAAGATAAAAGGAAGTCATGACAGGTCACCAATGGCCTTGAAAATACTTCGCAAGGGAGACGTGATAAGGCTTAAGCAGGTGGAGCATGTCAAAGCCGAGAAGCAGATTATGTCTATGATCGAGCACCCTTTCATTGTCAATTTGCTTGGCTCCTTTCAGGATGAGAAGCGGCTGTTTATGCTCCTTGAATATGTGAACGGAGGAGAGCTGTTTTCATACTTGAGACGAGAAGGCCGCCTTCCAAATGAACACGCTTGCTTCTACAGCAGTGAGATCATTCTGGCATTTGGCTATTTGCACAGTTTGCACGTTGTTTATCGAGACTTGAAGCCAGAGAACGTGCTGCTGGACTGTGAGGGCCACGTCAAGATCACTGACTTTGGGTTTGCCAAAGTGGTGGAAGAAAGAACCTGGACTCTTTGTGGCACTCCTGAGTATTTGGCACCAGAAATCATTCAATCCAAGGGTCATGGCAAGGGAGTCGATTGGTGGGCATTGGGCATCCTGCTCTTTGAAATGATTGCAGGATATCCACCTTTCTATGACGAGAATCCCTTCGGGATCTATCAGAAGGTCTTACAAGGCCGTGTCGATTTCCCACGCCATTTTGACGTGAAGGCGAAGGATCTGGTTAAAAGATTGCTGACCACTGACCGGACCAAGCGCTTTGGATGCCTAAAGGCCGGAGTTGAAGACGTGAAGAGGCACAAATGGTACAAGGCAGTGGATTGGGATTCCCTGCTTGCCAGAAGTGTTCCTCCACCCTTTCAACCACCTGTGCAAAGTGAAGACGACACGTCAATGTTTGAAAGATACCCAGAAAGCACAGAGGCTTCTGCGCCATCAATCTCCCCAAAGGAGCAAGAGGGCTTTCAGGAATTTGACACCCCGATAGCCTAATGGATGGCGGCTTGAAGCGCTGCGCTGCTCCGTGCCCCTTGGAATTCCTCGTGAGAATGTCTTCCTTTTCTCGTTGAATTGCAGCGTCCAATGCTGCTATTTGTCGTTGGGCGCCCGTAGGGACCTGACTCCACTGTCACCGCACCACAGCATTTCACCGCCCGCATCGGCGAAGACAAATACCTTTTCGATGCATGCTGGGTGTTATGAAGTAATTTAATCGAGTGGATCAGCATGTTTGCTTTGTCAGCCTGTCGGTACTTTTGTAATCTTTTGTATCTTTGGAAATGGATGCTTGAGGTGGCAGCTAGCTCTTGATTTGTATGCGCCTCGGTTAAACTGGAAACCGATTCAACTCTTGGCTGCACAACTTTTGGCGCTGTCTGGCAGATGGGAGGAATTAGCAACAGAAGAAATGCCGTTGACAAATAGAAGTCCATGCATCAGCAAGCCCCTGACAGGGGCTAAGTGTTCCTAGGAGATTGGGGTCATAAAGCGAATATGGGAGGCTTTATGATGCCATTGGCCATTGGCGGGATCTGGGACCTGGGAGTTCTGCACTTACACTAATGTCGACGTCGGATTAATCACCCCCCTTCAAAGTCAACAAGGTTTGAGATTGGAGGTATTTGAGACCGCAGACCACATCCCCTTTATAAAGGTGATGACCTGATGATGGATGATGAGATGATGACACGATTACGACATAATTATTGGGATTGGGATGATTGTGAAGATTAGGAACGCGATGAAAGAGATTGGAAGACAAGATTCTTTCTTTAATTGGGATGATTAGGAAAAGAACGAGGATTGCAGCATCAAAGAGATGGAAGGGTGCTTGATTAATAGGGGAGGGGCCCCTACCATTGGAGGGATGTGATGAGGTAGAGTTTTAATAAGGAAAGAGTTTTGCCAGCGAGTTTTTTTTGTGTTTTGACAAGGACGGATGAGAAGAAAAATACGGATGAGAAGCAGAAGGAGGACAAGAATGATGGATGAGTGGACACCAGCCAAAAAGAAAGTAAAACAAAATCTGCCCAGCTGGCTTGATTAATAGGGGGAGGTGGAAGGTGTTTGCCAAGGAACATGTTTATTAGGGGTAATGGACATGTGACATGTGGTTAAATTATTACAGTATATAGTTTAGCATAGGGCCCTCGAGCTGGGCTTGATTAATAGGGGGGAGGTTACTTAATCCTAGTCTTAATTCCTATATATGTCAACATTAAGCCACTCACTTTGTGCCTGATACCGAATCCAAGTAGGGAAGTGTCATGTTTCTCTTGCTCACTGAGCGCGTCGATGGCGAATCACAACACCTTTCATGACATCGCAAATCATTACATGACATCGCAATTTCACCGCGCCACATTTCATCAGATGTTACTTCAGAACAAGCCACAACATTGTCACAGTATTGCACTTGACCACATCACGAACCACAGCCGGCTTACAATTTACCGCAGAACATGTTACCACATCACGAATCAGACAGTTGTAGAATCACCACACTATACTTCACCGATCTACGAAACGTTACACTTCACCACATGACAAACCGTCGCAATACATAGTAGGTTTCGTCTCAATCAAACAGTTCGGTCCCTGCTAGGAAGTGGTTTCAGTCCGGGTCCAATTGTTGAGGCTGCAATCTGCAGGCACTTGCCGCTCAAGCGCTGACTCGCAGGCATGTTCAGCAATCGGATGAGCGGTTTTGTTGTCAATAACACAAAATCAACAAGCGAAAGGATGCAACGGCTAAGGAAGATATTAGTGGATTGTTTGGGACCGGTGACCGGGATGTTAAATTCTCGAAATTACAAGTGTTGCTTTCTTTTTGCATTGCTTTAATTCCAAGCAGGCCACGGCAATTGCAAGTGTTCATTGTTTGCAAGAGGTTGTCATCATGGAATTACTGGACATATTTATTGAGTTTGTTTTCTTCCCGCAGGTGTGTGCAAGCGCTTTGTTTGCTCTTCAAGGGCGTTGGCGACGGGCCGGGGCGTAAGGGGCGCAAAGATCACAAGTCATGAAACTCTCCATTGTCATGAGTCATTGAAGGGTCAGAGAGGTGGAATACCTTGCAGAATTCTTTCAGGAGCCAAAGTAATGAATGAGGGTGTTCAACTGTCCCGACTCAGATCTTCTTGTCTCGGAAGCGTTTCTACTCATCAAGATGACCGATCAGATGTGGTCAGATAGTGCACTCTAGTCACAAGCCCAAATTTGCCACTCGCTATCTAAATTGCGTTTCATCACACAAAATAATGATTGTTCCAGATGCAATCACAATGTATACTGAAGGACATGTGCGAGTTGTTGTCAGCAGTTCAATACAACGCTTCAGCAACAAAATGGCACTGCGGCAAATCATCTAAAGTATTGTTCTCATGATGCATTCTCCATGTCGTGAATTGAATTGTTGTGGCACGTTGCTACGTTTGATATTATTGAACAAGCTTGCAACATGAGTGGATCTAGTTTCGATGCTACAATGTTTGCCCCGCAGAGGGCAGCTCATTGAATCATGCCCTGCAGGTGTTGGGCCTATTGCCGAGCAGGAAGGTCATATCCCCGAACCTGCTGGAGGTGACTTGCTTGCAGACGCATGGTACCGAAGCCAACGGACGACCACAAGACCTGAACGTTTTGGCAGTGTGTTCTATTCATACATACAATGTTATATACTGTATAATATGTCTAATTTTCAACATTTCATTCACTTCTTATGTTTAAAAGAGTCTAGCTGTTCTTGTGTTTATTGACCTCAAAGATGTCCCTGCGAACAGAGCGCTTTGTCAACAATAGACCATTGCTGTTCAACATAGGCAACACAGGTGTGCATGTGCATGGACACATGGGATGAGGAAGGAGCCCTTATATAGATGCTTTCTGAAAGCAAGTCGCCATGGGCTTTCTACATGTTCTTTGGTCATGTCTACAATTTGGATCAATTTGGCCTTTCGGAACTGATCTCTCATTTACATGTTTTGCAGTGCTTTCAAGTTCCCTTCCAATCTTGAGATAGGAACACCAAAGCTGCATGTGAAGAAAGTGTTTGCACCAAGCATCAGCATCAAGGAAAAAGCACTAGTCGAATCTCTCTTGTTTTGAACGAGTTTCTTGCAACATTTGAACCTGCTTGAATGATAGACCTCACAGACAGACGGACAGACAGGAGACACAGAGAGAGAGAGAGAGAAAAGGGCAGGCTTTCGACATAGTTCCTTTTGACCCATCACACCATATACTATATATAACAAATCCTGTGTTTACTAAACACACTTTCCAAGGCTGCCTTGCAGGCCTGCGCTGCAGCCATGCAACGGGGGCAGGCCGAGTTACGAGTGGGCGATATGGGGTCCATTGCTATGATGTCGCAGGCAGCACGTCTCTTCCAGCAGCTGTCAAGGTGCCTTGGCCAATCTTCAGTCCCACAGATTGACCATTGGCTTTCCTTTTTGATGAACCAGCTGGGTCCGCTTGGTTGGAGCATGATATATTTATTCGTTGATGCCAAAGCGCGCTACATTGTGCACATATGTTACTGTAATAACATCCTAATAACATCTAAAAAACGATAGCAATTTCTCATGCACAGAAGCTACAAAAAGTATGATACCTTGGGACTTTCCTGTGTGCACATATTTGCGTGCGTTTCTGCAAGGCACCGCGCAGTAGTGAAAGCAGTGCCGAAAACTATGCCAAACGATACCTGCATTGTGTGTTTGGATGCCCCGGGAATCCAGTTGCCCACCTGTGCATGGCTATAATTTCTGACTGGGAACTTGCAATTTCTTTTCCCCGCTCACTCTCCGAACCTGGTTGGCCCGACTAAGTGGCGGTTCTGAATTTGCCACATGCAGCCGAGTGCGGGGCTTCACCAAGGGCCCAACGGCCTGGAGTGTCACATTGCCAGATGAGCCATATATGAATTGTTGCTCGAATGCCACCAGTAGTCAAGGTTGCCGTAGGCGTGTTGCAGGGTTTGTTGGTCAGAGCGGAAAGACCTTGCAACCCAAACCAGCCAACCCTTCCTACATTCCGTGGACAGGGGTGCTTTCGAGTTCAGCTTGCGAGCCAGTTTTCATGGCGTGCTTTCAATCTTCGCTCGATCAGCCGAGCAGGGCGGGTCGCAGGTGTCTCATGTGCCGTGGTGAATCCATCCAGAGCCCCACAGATTCTTAGTGGATCCATCCACGTTCGTCCTTTGCGTGCAGTTGACACAAAGCGGAACCGAAAAAGCTCTGTGAAAAAAGTGTTTGTTTGAGATCTTGCACGTGCACGTGCTCTCACCATTCGCAAGCCCACTGCAAATCTAGCATGCAAGAAATGGACAGGCTGTTTAATTTACATGTAGATGACATCGCAACAGATTGAAAAACAATAGGAATCCCAAGAACGATATATACCTACCTTGAAAATATCCTCTCAGGGCACCCCTGGTTTTGCCGGTCGTTCGGGTGCTGTTGAACCACAAGTCTGTTGTTCTATCCAATGATTTTTGATGATTTGTGCAGCCTTTGTTGACTGGGACGCCTCTATAGACTGCCAGATAGGAAGGGCGAGGGTATTGAATCGCGCCGCCAGTTGGAGAAATCCCGTGGTTCTGGAATTTCAAAGTTTTACCATTTTTGTTGACATCGCAAGCTTTATCAACTGAACCAATTTTTGGTCATGTTAGGCCTCCTGAGCCATGAACGAAGTCACTGTGGCACTGCAGGTGATTGAGGAGTCGATTCCCAGCTTGGTTCCGTGGTCCATTTGTGTCCCCTCCGGGCTTCGACCCGAACTAAGTCCCAGCATCACTGCCTTCAATGCACTTTTGGCAGCCTGCGGAGTGGGTCTCCTCGGTCGGGTGGGCTCTCGTTCAACGTCCGATGGCGAGCCTTTCAAGGTTTCTTTGCATGGTTGGCCAGGTCAATGATAAGATTACGAGTTTTTGAGTATTGTTTGTCGTATATGTACTTCTCAGACCAGCGTTTTGCCCACATGTAAATTGGTGCACAGACTCGCGGGTTTGTAGATGTTACAATGATATTGCTTTGGGATTGGAACCATTCATCAGGAGTGTGCACTTCAACACGGTATTGTTTGTTGGGTCGTCCTGCATGCAACATGCACCTGAAGCATCAGGCAGCTTGGCAAGAAGCGATTTGGTTGCTTACAAGGCTAGAGGCAAGTCTTGGTTCTTTCAAGAGGCTTCATTGTGGCGGCTTACATTCGGAACTGCTTTTTATTGGTCGCAAATTCGTTTCAGTTTCAACTAAGTAAAGTCGATAGTGTGAATTTGATCTGATGTACCAAAGCAATCAAGCTCAAACCCTACTCCGAAGGCTCCCTTCAGATGAGCTTTGGTGAGCCACCATACCGGCTTGACCAAGTGCTGCCAGAAGAACAGGTGTTTTGTCAGATATTCTATGATATTCTATATAATTTCCGTGTTGTAGGCGACTGCCAGACCCAGCTGCGTCAGCAGGAAGCCCGGGCCGGCATGTCATCACTGGTTGTAGTGCAGAGCAGCCTTTGCTACAACCCCTTTAACGAGATGTTTCAATAATCAGGTTTCTATAAGTCATGATTGACGGCGTGTGCTTGTATGTGTCGTTCTTGGGCTGGCTGACTAATGAGTATATATACTAATTAATCAGCGAACATGTTCGTTTGGGCAGGGTGATTTGTCTTGGACGTGCAAGCACATGGCGAGTGGTTGACAATGTAATTACTGACAGTGCTGCTACAAGCGGGATGCGTTGAATTCTCCAACATTTATTCTAGGTTCTAGGCTCTGGACCCAGGTTTGTTGGCTGCAGCAAAGAACCCTTTGGCACGCCCTGTGACCGCGGCAAGGGGCTTGTGAACCCTTGATTTGGAACACCATACCATACTCCTATAGCTTTGTACCCTGATGACACGGCAGAGTGCTTTTCCCAGGAAGCTAGGGTACTCATGAGACTTCATTGTCAGCCATCAAGAGTGTGTTATAATGTTCCCTGCCTTAGGGAAATTAACCCGGGTGACTACTGAGTCTCGGATTAATTTTCTTGATATGTGTTTCATTCTTTTCAACTCAGTGTACCGTGATTCTGTGCACACCTTCCATTCAGTGGTCGTAGATTTGGATGAGACCAGACAATGGGCCATGGGGAAACGAGATGAAAAAGAGCTCACCCGTGCGGCGCCTCGAGACCTAGAAAATTAATCGAGACCTCTGCAAGCGCTTTGAGCTCAGACATGGCAGAATTATGTAGAGTAGTTGGGGTGCCCCTGGATTAATTTCAACCCCCCCCAGCTTAAGAATTAATCCAGACTCAACATCCTCCAGATTAATTTTCCGAAAACACCCCGGAGGCAGCCAGATGATTTTTCAATTTAATCCAGGGGTACCCCCCCTCTACTCTCACAACTAATTCTGTTGTGGGTTGTTGGAGAACGACTTAAAAGTAGGATTCCTAACTCCAACCTGACAACTTCAAGGTACCCCACAGCATCCCGAGCAGCCTAGAGCCCTGCTACAGTGTGTGTTTGAGTATTTGTGTCTTGAGTCTTGAATTTGTAAAGTCTCACCGGGCCTGAGCCGGCCAGGTACTGTCTCGCCTGCAAAACTACGTGCAAACGGGGCCAGCAAAGGAGCCTGAGTGTATGACTCACGACGGTTGTGAACAAGCCGTGGACCATGGCATACACTTGGCAGATACTGGTACTCCCTCCCGGCTGCGAAGTTTGTGCGGCAAGGCCATCACATTTTGTCACAAGGTTGTGCGGCAAGTGGGTTACTTTTCTAGGTAGACATTGGTGTTTAGACAAGGCAGTGTTGCAGATAAAAGAGGTTCATCCCAGTCAGCTTTCCTGACCCGCAATGAACTCAAACGGGTCATATGCGAATATATGAGGCCTCAGCTTTCATCAGTCCAACGCCAGGAGGTCAATGCAATGGTCTCTGCCGTGGACCTTCTTGAGGTGTCTCCGGCTCAGGAATCCACCACCAATCCACCCCAAGAGCCAACTAGGAGCAAGGACGCTACTAGGGGTTCCTGGCCTTACTACTAGGAGCAAGGACGCTACTAGGGGCTCCTGGCACAGCTACTAGTAACAAGAAGCTACTAGTAGCAAAGGGCATCGCTACTAGGAAGCAATTATTACATATTATTACTGTTTCATGGCGCATGCTGGGGCCTGCTACTTAAACATGATGCAACAGAGACGTGACTATAGACGGAACAGATGCGTAGACTCCAGACACCGAATACGGCGCACATGTACAGCAGGACTGGAATAAAAGTAGGACGTCAATTCCTGAATCTGAAGATGCAAGATCTTCAGCACCTGTCCCTGCAGTTATTTCCTTGGCCCAGTTGCACGGGTTCCGCTTTACGTCCGTCACATTTTTGGGAGGAACGGGATGGATGGGATGCTTGCACTGAAGGCTGGTGGGGGACAGGGGTGAATGGATAAGATACCATTGAAACGGTAAAAAAAAGAGTTCTTGGAGCTTGCTATAATCATTGCAAACAATCGCTGCGTTCACTCATCGCAGTGTGAAGCGGGTGCGTCGGCAAAGCAACATGGTCATTTTTTTGTGTTGAAGTTGAGTTGTACATCACATACGGCATTGCAATATTTTGGGGGCTTGGGAGTGACCTGCCACTGAAACGGTGTGTTTCAGCCCCTTAAAGAAAACTACACATCTTGAGGCATGACAAAGTCCAACCAGGTGCTTGGCAGCGCCGTGTCCGTGCACTTCAAGCTGGGAGGCCCAGTGTCTTCAGTGATGCTGAGGTTCATTCCAAGCATGGAGACTTCAGTTTCAGAATTGTTTCAACTTCTCACTGGAAATCTCTAAAATATACTATGACAAAGTGGTGAAAGACATCCGACAGTGGCATATATTTTATACATGTTTTATACTAGATACTTTATATTTAATATTTGAGACATTAGCATATATATATATACACATAAAACAATCAATGTTGGGTCCATATCGCATTATATCGCCACGCCACAGCTGGCTCCATGCTCAGGGCTTTACAGGACCATTTGGATTCACCGGTCTCAGGTGGCTGCGGTGGTGAAACTGCAACGAGGCGCGCCCGCAGGCGTCCCGCCGCTCTGCGTGGCCTGCGGAGCAGCTGGCGATGGTTGACGCCTGATGTATGACGTACGGCACGTTTCTCTCTCTCTCTCTTTCTTTGGTGTGTATATAGACAGTAATTATATAAATCATGACATGTAGTTGCATCACATAGTTATCATATCAATATAGGAATAGAAGTGCAAAATACATTAAACATGCATAGTTTGCATGTGGTGATGTGTGATGGAGCGGTGCTGAAAAAGAAAACACATGTATTAAGGTATTTGCTTGTTTCCTTTGACTCTAACCTACTGTATTAAGTTTAGTAGCGTTACACCCACACTCGATCTGTGGCACTAGCGTAGAGGTATGAGCGGAAATAGCATGTTCATACAGAAAGTCGCCTGTTTACAAGTTTTCTAGTGTTGTTCTCAGCCTTGTTGGCTTGAGCTGCACACGTTGTCACATTATGTTGCCATACTTTGCCGGTCGTCCTGATGCAGGAACATGCCGCAGTCCTGGCAGAGCTTTGCGTTTGAGAAACCGCATCCTGGACGGGGCCTTCTTTGAACTTATTGTCAAATGTTGAATCAGCTTGTGCCATTTATAATGATCTCACATGGTTTCCATCAATATGCCATGGCCTAACGTCAGGACAACTTGCTGAGTTTATTAATTACTCTGGACCTTTGCCATGTTGATGAATGCATTTTTACCACAGAGGTCAGCTTTCCTGTGGTTCTCAGTCGGTTGAAGTTTGAAGGATCGCATTGCCGTGGGTGAGGTGAACAATTCTGGCTCGAAACTTTCCCACACTATGATCGCATCATCCAGTTTCAGGGTCTTGTGCTTGCAGGAGCAACAACACTCGTTGGGAAAACGTGGTACCGAACTTGCCCTGGAGGCTCTGAAAGCGATTCCAAGTGTTTATTCGGAGATGATTACTTTCTTGTTATTTCTTGTTACTTGTTCCAAAATATTGAAATGCCCAAGAAGAGCGATGGAATTCCGCGTGGCATCAATGACTGCGATCAAATCTTTTGGTGCTAGTGCGAGCTTGAGAGTTTGATAGCTGGGCAGACCATTGTGAGCTTTAGCTGGGACTGGACAGTTTGCCATCAGCACGGCTACTGGGAACAAGGACGCTACTAGGAGCAAAGGGCATCGCTACTAGGAGCAAGGACGCTACTAGTGGTTCCTGGCCTTACTACTAGATGCAAGAAGCTGCTAGGAACAAAGGCCATCATCACCAAACGGCTTGACCCTGGGTTCTCGCTGACGGGCTAGGCAGGTGGCAGCAGAGCTTGTGGGCAATGGGCGTGGCAGCACAGAAGCTCATTGCAAGTGATGCGATTCTGGCGATGTACGTGTTCTGCATTGGTGTTTTTGTCAAACTTACGTACTTGCGTAATTTGGAGCCTCCAGTGCACAAGGCGATGTTTGCCACATGTGTGCCTCGATCAGCAACAATGAAACACACATTCAATCCAGCATGGACTGGACAATGATGCTAATTGTAAACATATATCACTTGCTTGATTTGCTGCTTGCGGTTGTACGTACCGTACTACCATTTTGACAAAAGAAAAGATAATTCTGTTTGATAGAACCGATTCCTTCTTCTGAGTTATCGTTATTGGAGCAACCTCTGAGTTTCTCCGTTTTCCTTCCCAACGCTTTGCTGCGCTTCCGTCCAGGCCCTGCGGGCTCGGCAGCGTCTCCGTACCGAGCTAGGCAGCACAGCCAGATTGAAGGTGCTTGAAGGGTAACCAGCGTTAAGACAGTTAAGAAGCTACTATATAGTAACCAAGGGCATCGCTACTAGGAGCAAGGATGCTACTAGTATCTCCTGGCATTACTACTAGTAACTAGTAGCAAGAAGCTACTAGGAACAAAGGACATTGCTACTGTGAGGCTTTGCAGGGTTTCACAAGTGCACATCATGGAACCGACAACGAAGAACTCTGGAACTCCCGGGCGATCCCTGCACTGTAGCCACTTGTGGATTTGCCGCTTCAATTGCAATTCTGGAATTCTCTCACTGGTAATTCTCGCTGCCCACGTGCCAGGCTTCAGGTCAGATGGCCTACTTGGCTTGGAGCCTAAAACAGGCTTTTACAGCCTGACAGCTGTTTTTGTCATGTTCCCTAAACATCTAGTTAGTATCCAAATCATTAGTGCGTGAGGTATCCTGTGTCCGTATGTAGTAGCGTCCTATTGCTAGGTGCTTGTTTACCTTAAGTAAGTAGGTGCCTACTTTCTTAAGTACGGGCGGGCTTTAAACACATGCAAATCATTGGAAGGTTTCAACAGCAACAAGTCACATCGATGTACAGACCCTTTGTTATCTTGTTTTTGCACCTTGGTTTTTGCGCCAGAAATTGCGGAGGGTGTGTCCTTTCCATCAACTGAGGGGGGTGTGCACAGACTTGCTACCACGTGCATGGTATACATACTCACGACATTCAGATTGACATGTTTATCTCGTCAATCTTCAAGTGTTGTATTTAATGAACATGCAGCTTACACGTTGATCCAAAATGCAGTCATCCAACCAGATCCCGCTTTGATGAAAGTCTCAGGTGCCTCAGTGTTTTAATAACATAACATGCCTTTCGGAATGAAGGACCGGCCCCCCAAACCCACAAAAGTCAATCATGTGGAGTTTGTTTTGGCGCAGAAGCGCAGATGCTGCACAAACCCAACACAAGTTTCTGATATCAGGTCAAAGCCAGAGCCTAGCATTTCAATGTAGTTCCCTTGAGAAGGCTTCGACAGAACTCGGGACTTGGCCTGCAGCCATGGCACAGCCAGTGCAGATGACGCGCTACTATCCGGCTCCCCAGGGCTATCGACGCTCGCCAGCAACGAGTTGTTCTATGTTTTCTTTGTGCTACTACGAGAGTGGAAACATATTTTAA